AGGTATGGAGCTAGGACGCATCCCCGGCGTACACCCTTCCCAGTCAGATACTTCTCTAAATAAAATAAAAAATAGCATAAAATAATTCTTAAAATAATCACTTAATAACATAACAAAATCTCAAGAGGTTTGTACAGAAATAGATTACCTTCTGAAAAAGTTGACATTAGAGAGGTAAGAAAGTTAGTTTCTGGGGCAAGGAGAAGGCACAGCAAATTTGCAATCCATAAAATTCCCAGTTAAAAGCTCTAGATTTAGACAACTTGCAAGAATTAGTTAAAAATTACTTTTAATATAAACAACCGCCTGTTAGGTTGTTCAGTGCTTATGGCTCAGTTTGTGTTGCTTCTTTCTCTTTTCCAGTAGTTTCAGCAGCTGCATGGAACCAGAAAATCAAACACAAGTTTTGGAATTTATTCTTCTGGGGCTCTCAGGAGAGGCAGACCTGCAGCCCCTCCTCTTCGGGCTCTTCCTGTCCATGTACCTGGTCACCTTCACTGGGAACCTGCTTATCATCCTGGCCACCATCACAGACTCCCACCTCCACACACCCATGTACTTCTTTCTGTCCAACCTCTCTTTTGCAGACATCTGTTTTACTTCCACCACTGTCCCAAAGATGCTTGGGAATATTCAGATACAGAACAAAGGTATTACTTACCAAAGCTGCATCACTCAGATGTATTTTTTCATGGTTTTTGGAGACTTGGACAGTTTTCTCTTGACAGTGATGGCCTATGACCGGTTTGTGGCTATCTGCCATCCCCTACGCTACACAGTCATCATGAACCCCAAGGTGTGTGGCCTCCTACTTCTGGTATCCTGGTTACTGAGTTTTCTGGAATCTCTCTTACACTGCTTACTGGTTTTGCGGTTGTCTTTTTGCACAGATCTGGAAATTCCTCACTTTTTCTGTGAACTTAGTCAGGTAATCCAACTTGCTTGCTCTGACACTTTCCTCAATGACTTGGTTCTGTGTTTTGCATCAGGACTTTTGGGTGTTATTCCACTCACTGGGATCCTTTTCTCTTACACTAAGATAGTCTCCTTTATTTTGAGAATTTCATCAGCTGGGGGCAAGTATAAAGCCTTTTCCACATGTGGATCTCACATCTCAGTGGTTTCCTTGTTCTATGGTACAGGTCTTGGAATTTATTTCGGTTCTTCTGCTTCCCAAAACTCCAAGGCCAGTGCAATAGCATCAGTGATGTACACTGTGGTCACGCCCATGCTGAATCCCTTTATCTACAGCCTCAGAAACAATGATATAAAGCAGGCCATAAAAAGACTTTTCAACCAAGAACAAAATTTTGCATAATAGTATCGTTTTGAAGCTCCGCATCAAGAAGACAAAGATTCTTACCACTGGCCCAATTGGCACCACCATGTTATATGGAGATGAGATTGAGGTTGGTAACAATTACAGCTTGCTCAGCTCCACAAACAACACTCTTGGCACCAACAGTGCGGAAATTAAAAGAGAAACTGTAGTGGGAAAATTTGTTGTCAGGAACCTCTCCAGAGTACTGAAAAGCAGAGAGACTAAAGTGTGCTTAATCCAGGCCATGGTCTTCAAAATTACTTGCTATGCATCAGAGAGTTGTACAATGACTAAGGATGACAGAAAAAGAATTGATGCCTTCAAACTGCAGTGCTGGAAAAGAGTTTTGAACATACCATAGACTGCAAAGAAAACAAATAGGTCTATCTTGGACAGGGTGAAACCAAGACTTTCCTTGGAAAATGGGATTTTGAAGCTCCATCACACATACTTTGAGAACACGGCCAGGAGGGACTGATCCGTAGAGAAGGTCATCATGCTCAGAAGGCCAGACGGACAGTACCGGGGAGGAAGACCCATATGTCATAGAAAAATAAAAACTAGGGCAATGGGGACTGCTGTGTCAGGATCAGTGACACTGTCTCAGGACAGGACAGGCATCAGAGATGCTGTATATAGGGTCACTGTGGGTACCAGTTGACTTGACAGCATATAACAACAACAACATGGTAGCCTAGTGGCAAGAATTTGCACAGCAATCCGAAAGGTATGCTTCGGAGGCCACCAGCAGCTCTTTGGAAGAAAGTTGGACAATCTCCACCTTTGCGATTAACTGCCTCCGGAAACCTGCCAGAGGGTCAGCTATGGGTCGGTTCCAACTCGATGGTACACAAGAACAATAACAGCATCACCTCTCTCAAATCAGAAAATTATGAATAATAGAGCTCAAACATAATAAAGACCTTGTCATTACACCTTCATCAATTTATTAATCGAAGTCATTTTCTGTTTTCCTCTACTGGGTTTTATATATTTTATGCAAAAATTGATATATTAATTTCTATTTTGACAGCCTGTTTCTTTTCATCAGTTCTGATGCCCTAGTGGTAAGTAGTTGTGCTGTCAGCCAAAAGGCAAGCAGTTCCAGTCCACCAGCTGCTCTGTGAGAGAAAGATGATCAATCTCCTCCTGTGGGATTTACTGCCTCTGAAAACCAGGTAGAGGGCCACTGTGAGTTGATTCCAACTCACAAGTGCACGCCAAACTCTGTGTTATTTCTCAAACAGATATAATGCTAAGTATTTTAAGCAAGACGTTTGTAAGCATGTGTTTATTAAATTGTGAGAAACGCCTAATAATATGCCCTTGATGTGTTGGGGATAATTCTCAGGAAAACATTGAAAAGCAGACCAGCTGAGAACATTAATGCTTCTTCTATCATCAGAAAGATGAGGGAATCTAAAACTCCAGTGATATTATTGACTCCAAGAATATGCTGCGTTTCATCATAGTAGGAATATTTTGTTATAATTGTTGACTCTAGTTTCACTGTCCTGCCACATAGGTGCTCCTTTTACAAAGGGCCGGAACATCACTTCTTGGTACACATGATGCTACTGACTGGGAAGTTTGAATTCAGAGATAAGAACATATTCGTTGCATCTTGTTGAAAGGGAAGAAGACTTGAAGATTTATTGATGAAGATCAAGGACTATAGTCTTCAGTATGGATTACTCCTCAACGTAAAGAAGAGTCTTCACAGCTGAGACAACAAGCAACATCATAAAAAATGTATAAATATTGACATTGTCAAGGACTTAATTTACTTGATTGAACACTGGACCATTGAAGATTAAGATGTGGTAACTCTAGTGAGTAGATTTTCCCCATCCTTAAGCATTGTATTTGTAGTTTGAAGTGAGTTGTAGTTGTTTTTCTATAGACTTTTAAACATTTTCTTTAGAAATATGCATTCTTTATTATAAAAAGAACCTAACATTTCTATTCCTTTTTTCTGTTGCCAAGGCCCACTCCAAAATACTAATTAGAAAACATGTCAGTTTAAAGACTCAGGTGCACCTAACTCTTGCCATCATCTTTTCAATTGCTTTATAGACAAGTGAAAGTTGGAAAATGAGAACACACACATACAAAAAATAGCAGCCCCCAAAATGGAATCTGTAGCTATTGATCTCACAAAACATAGACGGCAATAGACTGAAAGCTACAAAGCACTAATATTAAAAATAAAAGAAAAAAGAAATTAATGGCGAGATACACTGTGTTCATAAAACAAGAGTCTATAATTCTGTGGAAGATGTCATTCTTTCCCACCTTGATCATACATTTAATGCACTCCAAATAAAAATACAAGACAGCTATTTCATAGATGTTAACAAAATGACTCTGAAGATTTTATAGAAAGACAAAATATTAAAGGAATCACAAATTACTCATGTAGAACAACAAAATACAAGGAATCATTACTAGTCTTCAAGATAAAATGAAAGTAATGAACAACACATGGATAGTGAAGAATAGATACAGAGGTCATAGGAAAGAGGAGAGAGCCCAGAAAAACATCCATACAGACATAATGAGAACATCTTTGATTGAAAGGTGGGAACAGAACAGAATCAAAAAAGATTAATTAGTGATAAACACACTTTTCAAACTCTTTGACAATGAAGTTGCAGTAATTAGTGTCTCTATAACACAAATTAATCAGAAAGCAGATCATTCACTTTTAACAAAAAATTAACATGAAATACATCATAGGCCTAAAAAGAAAGTTTACAGAGAAAAAAAAAAAGAAAGTTAAAAAATAACAAGGTTTCTAGGAGAAAACAGAATTGCTGTATTGGTGAAGAATATTGGAAACACCATGAACTGTCAAAAGAACAAGCAAATCTACGTGGGAAGAAGTTCAGACAGGGTGTTCCTTAGAAGCAAGGGTGATGAGGGTTGCAGAGTGGAGTATACTCAGGATAGGGGTGGGGCGTGTGGGAGGATTGTAAACCAATGAAGGAGTTTTTCTTTTGCTTTTCAAGGAGAAGAGTAAACTGGGAGGGTGGAGGGGAGAAAAGTATAACAATGAATGAATGGAAATCCAAAATCTTTGTGAATGTTCATTGAGAATAATTTTTTTAAAAAAATAACTTTTAAAAAACCCACAATGAAAAAAAAAAGAAGCAAGGGTGATGAGACTTCATATCATATTTGTTAGACATGTTTTTGGGAGGGACCAGTCCGTGGAAAGAAGACATCCTGGAAAATTGAGAGCAAGAATGGGACGGAAAGATCCTTATTGTTGTTGTATATAATAGCATCAGAATCTGCTCATAGCTGACCCTCCAGTAGGTTTTCAGAGGCAATTAGTCACACAGGAGGAGGCTGCCCATCTTTCTGCCACAGAGCAACTGGTGTCCTCCAACTGCGTGCCTCAAACTGGATTTCAGCTCAGCATCTTACACTAGGACACAAGAGATCATTAGGAGGCGAACTGACACAGTGACTGTAACAATGGCCATACACACAGCTGAGGTGGTGAATATAGCACAGGATTGGGCAGTTTTTGTTCTTCCGTGCATAGTCGCAATGACTTGAAGCCGACTCAACACCACCTAGGGACAACAACACACAGGTTACAAGAAAAAGAGATCATTAGAAGAAAGTTAAACATTGTTCCTGTCAGAATTTGCCACACTCATGGGCTGCTGTTTTCACAACTGTTGGCACAGAATGCCTGGAAAGGTGCTAAGCAAATATATGTAAAAATGTCAAAACACTCTACTATATTTCAGGGACTTTTTCTCCTGATTCATGATTCATTTGGTTACTGAAAATACTTTCATATATTCTAGAGTTCAAATAAAGTAGAATAACTGCTTTTTGTCAATTTTATTCTGAGTCTCTGAGATGAGTTAGGACCCTGGAACTACCTACTGTTTCTGTTTTACTAATTAGTGATTTTCAAAAATGTTTTCTCCCAGCCCCCAACCCAATCTGCAATCATTTCTCATATTTTAATTGCAAATTTCACTGTATTATTTCCTTCTCTTTGATTCCATGTTTCTGTGGTTTTCATAACAACAAGAATTGGTTCCTTTCCTTGAATTAGGAAAACATTTCACAAACTAAGTCTTACACATGGATATCCTCTGTGATAATTCTACTCTGACTCTCCACTAATTTAATTATGAACTTCATAGTCATGAGGTTTTTGGTTGTTATCGGATGTTTTAGTCAACATCCAGCTTTCTGATTCAGAGGAAGCTATTAAAAATACCACAGCTTTAAATGTTTTGTAAAATTCACTTGAAAACCATCTGGTCCAGGGCTTTTCTTGGTTGGAAGTTGTTGTATTGCCTTTTCAATTTCTTCTTTTGTAATGGGTCTGTTCAGATGTTCA